TTTTCTAATCTCATATAATTGATAAAGCATTTTATAACCATATATTATATATACATATACATATACATATATATATATATATATTATAGGTAGCTTTATTTGATGAAACAGGAACACAGTAGCTTTTATCTTTATCTTAAATCGAGTGTTTCCCTTGTAGCTTACACTTTCCAATTGATTTACATGTATCACGTAGAAGGTCCTTTGGCTGGACTAATAATGCTTGTATCTTTAGAAATGGGTACTCTTTGTTGATAACAGTTGAAGTCAAATCCACTCTTAATTTTTGTGTATTTAATTAGATTTCTGTGATTGTTGTAGTTTTTATATTCTAAGTTTCAAAAGTGTTACTAAAACTATCAGTGTATTTAATAGACACATTCTACTGCCCGGCCATAATAATTACAAATTATTTAATTTTCAACACTTTGGTTCTGCTGTTTTTTTTTTTTTTTTTTTTTTTTCTTGGGTAATTAGGTGCTTTTTGCTGTAGAATAATTTTTGTTTTGGTTTACTTATGGTTTAATTAATACATCAATAAACTTAAACTTAATTTAACTTCTTTTTTTTTATTAAAAATTACAATGTACATATTCTGCAAATAATTGAAACCAAAATTCACAAAGTGATATACCATGGTGAGTAAAATACAATGTCCTTGACTCTTTTTTTTTTTGCTTCTGTCCTCTATGCCTCACTTGTTTCTATTACGGTTTATTTTTTTATTTTTAAAAGAAAAATTAAAGATTCCTTAAGAAGAAAAAAAAAAAAAAAAAAAAAAACAATTGAAGATGTCCTCTTGATTACAATTTCCTCCGGACAGATGACCTGGGACTAAGCAGTCATTGACAGTACAACAGATCTGCATGATACCCAAAAGTATAATTTGCTTCGTAATGATTTTGCATCAAAGCAAATATGTATACACACACACACATATATATATATATATGTATGTATAATATGCATGTGTGAGGGTATTCGTGTCTTTTGTATGCAGTAAATAAAAGAGAGCCAAAGTTTACCCTCTTATAATTAGCATTATAACAAATATTTCTGTGTCTTTAGTTAGGACAATTATATATTCTCTATATTTTGTTATTGTAATATGTAGTTTTATATAATTTGAAATAAACTAAAGATAAAAGTTTATTTGCATCATTATATTGTTAAAATATTCTAAAATTATTATATTTGTCACTGATAATAATAATAATAATAATAATAATTTATTTATCTGGCTTTAGTACATTTATACTCACATGCGAGTAAATAAAAATAAAGAAAAGAGATCAGGAAGCAAAATCTTTAACCCACCAATGAAAACATCACACTGCCGGAAACGAAATTCAAGACGGAAAACGACCCTTCACTTCCACAGAATCAATGTGTTTCTCTCTTTTCTCTTACCTTCCCTCTGTGTACCTATATGTGTGTGTGTGTGTGTATATATATACATACATATACATATATATATGCATGTACATATATGTTTGAGAACTAATACTGAATATGAGTTTTTTTTTTTTTTTCAAAAGGAAGTAAATATATATATATATATATATTTAAAAAACTTGATATATTTATTACACAATCTGGCTAAAGCCCTTTGTTTTTCCCGGGTTCTGTCCATACCCTACCTGTTTCAAAAGAGCCCATAATATAAAAGGGCCCGATCAGAAGCCTATAAGCCCATAGAGCAGTGAAGGTGGCCATATAAATAGCTATCCAATCCGACACTAAAAGATCCTCATATTGAATGTAATTTTATGTATCACGAATTTATTCTGCCTGCACTTTGCCTGTGCAATGAGTGTATGTCGTATATGTGTATATATATATATATATATA